TTTTTTTTGAGACGGAGTTTCGCTCTTGTTACCCAGGCTGGAGTGCAGTGGCGCGATCTCAGCTCACCGCAACCTCCGCCTCCTGGGTTCAGGCAATTCTCCTGCCTCAGTCTCCTGAGTAGCTGGGATTACAGGCGCGCTCCACCATGCCCAGCTAATTTTTTTTTTTGTATTTTTGGTAGAGACGAGGTTTCACCAATGTTGACCAGGATGGTCTCAATCTCTTGCCCTCGTGATCCACCCGCCTTGGCCTCCCAAAATGCTGGGGTTACAGGCTTGAGCCACCGCGCCTGGCCCATTAGCTCAGTACTTTTATATGTATCAAGATACAGAAGAAATAATGATGTTTAATGAAAAAAGTGATTATAAGTAACTGGAAAGTTTATACCAATTATAGAGGCTGTCTTTAAAATGAACAATCAACATTCTTCTAGCAGAAAACAATATGTGATCCAATGTAATATTTTAGTGTTTATTCCTCTGAAAGGTAAGGACTTATAGAAATATTGAAAAGAATACGGTAGAATGAGCTATAAAAAATTGTTTTTAAAGAAATGACCAGTTGTAGCAGTAGCAAGTACCAATAGATGTTTTTATTTCTATCCAGTATTTCCAAATATATTGTTAGTAAATCCTTAAGATTTAGTTCACACAGGACGCTTTGCCAGTGCACATCTTGGAAAGTCATATTAATATTTGGTTCATATTTTCATTAACTTTGTTTTTTTTAAATTTTATTTGTTGATTCTTCCCCTCCACTCTACCCTGTTGCTTTTATCTTTAGTATTTTTTAGACTTTATTTTCATTTTCTAAGAGAAAGAAAAGGAAAGCTTTCTTTATACTTCGTATTTCATCCTTAGTGTTTTAAAGAAATTTTTTATATTAAGTAATCCTAAAATATAATAAATGTATGGACAGTTATTTTTGATAAACTACATGAGAGATGAATTTAGATAACTTCCTTTGTTGAAATTTCAACTGGCTCTATGATATTTTTTTAAATTTTATCTTATCAAAAAGAGACGCTGGTCTTGAACTCCTGTGCTGAAGCAGTCCTCCGCCTCAGCCTCCCAAAATACTGGGATTACAGGTGTGAGCCATTGCACCTGCCTTCAGTGACTTTCAAAAAATTATTAATATTATTTTGAGATGGAGTCTCATCTATTGTCCAGGTTGGAGTGCAGTGGCGTAATCTCAGCTCACTGCAACCTTCACCTCCCAGGTTGAAGCAATTCTCATGCCTTAGTCTCACGAGTAGCTGGGACTACAGGCATGAACCACTATACATGGCTAATTTTTGTATTTTTAGCAGAGATGGGGTTCTATCATGTCGGCCAGGCTGGTCTCCAACTCCTTACCTCAGGCGATCCACCTGCTTTGGCCTCACAAAGTGCTGGGATTATAGGTGTGAGCCACCGTACCAGGCCCAAAAAATTATTTTTATTATTTCCTCTAATTTTTCTCCCAGGACACAGGACTAGTGTTGATGATTCAATGTGGTAGGAGCTTCACCTTCATAGTAAAATACAACTAATATAGTATTATAATGTTATAAATATTTTTGCTTGAAAGGACACTAGAGCAGCATGTAGATGAGTTGCTGTGAACATTTATAAAGAACCTCTCTACCTAGCTAAGATTATAGTCATGAGTAAGTCACGCATGGTTCCTGTTCTTTAATGATAAAATATTTTTATTGGGAAATGAACCAAATGTTAATTATTGTTAGAGGTATTAATAATACAGATCAAAGAAGTAATAAGCCAGCAATTTACTGTCTTCAACATGATTATTTCCCCAATATCTTAAACAATATTATTCTCTTTGAGGAAAAGAAGTCATACTAAAGTGTGGTTCAGAATGGCAAGTTCAGGGATTGTAGGGAATGTTGGAATACTGACAGGTTTTTTTGGTTATAGAAGTGTACATTTTCTCCAGCTATTTCAAAAATAAGTGTAGATGGAGGCATACTTCACCTTAAAATTGTGTGTGTATGTCACATTAATTTAGTATCTTAATTTTTGTCACATAGGCATACCAGATACTCCCTTCAGTAAGGACAGAAATGGTCATGTGAAGCGACCCATGAATGCATTTATGGTTTGGGCAAGGATCCACCGACCAGCACTAGCCAAAGCCAACCCAGCAGCCAACAATGCAGAAATCAGTGTCCAGCTCGGGTTAGAGTGGAACAAACTTAGTGAAGAACAAAAGAAACCCTATTACGATGAAGCACAAAAGATTAAAGAAAAGCACAGAGAGGAATTTCCTGGTAATCAAATGAAATAATGCCTCTTCTTTTAAATGAATTTATTTAGTTAAAGATTAGGTTAGGTTGAGATTGAAAGACAAAAATGTATAGTTTTTTTGAATATGTACAATAAAGGGAATAATGAATATTATAACAATGATTGAAATGACACTGGGCATGAGTTTCCTTAAATAGAACTAAGCAAAGGGATATCTGATTTCATATTCACCAACCCATACAAATCAGAAGACATGCAGTTTTTTTTGTGGTTTGACTTAGATAGATATAAATTTAATGAAGATATAAATTTAATAAAAGTACATCTCCAAAGTTTTAGGCTATAGTTTTTCAAGTAAACTATAGAAGTGTTAAAATGAAACAACAGAAAAAAAATACAGTACATACTTAAGGAGAATGAGGGATTATTACCATATTCCATTTTAACATATGATTGTCGGAACATAGTCCTGCCTTCTGATTGATAGATTTAGCCCCATCATGATACAGTGTGAAATGAGTCTGATTTCTCCCCAGCAGTGAGAACATTGGGATTAGGTTTAGGAAAATGCACTGTTTATGGCCAGCATGACTATGCAAGATGGAACAAAAATTTTTTTCTGAAATATTGGCAGAGAGGCTCTAGGAATGACGGTCAGAGGCAGCAACTATAGGGAACCAGTGATTGTTCCAGTTACACAGTGGCTGCAAATGCCATAGTTCCACTGTTCTGAGTTTGGAAGAAGTTGAGTTATTTGTGGACTTGGAGATTGCTGAGTCTAGGAGAGTGACTCTTCTTGAACTAGGCATAAAAATAGTGACTGATCATTAGTGACTATTGCATTGTAAGATATATTCAATTGTATCTTACAGAAAGTGAGGAAACAGGAGATGAATAATGTCATAGTGAGGCATTGTTTGATAAGGTAGAGGAAAAGCTTTGGGATTCAAGTATAGTGGTTTTGAAGTTGACTCTACTACAGATTCATTCTGTGTCATTGGTTGTAAAACATTTGACCCTCTTCCTTTCAATTAGGAGTTATAACACTGGCCACTAGTCAGGAACTATTTGGATATGTATGTTAAAATATACAGTGGAGCAGTCATTTACTGAAATAGTATCCCGGAGTTGGAAAAGATACTTTAGACAGTAATTTATTTTTAAAAACTTTAAAGTGCCTTGCATTTTAATATGAAAAAAAATATTTAAAGGCTAAATAGAGTCTATACATTTAAACGTATTTTATCTTCTATAGGTTGGGTTTATCAGCCTCGTCCAGGGAAGCGAAAACGCTTCCCTCTAAGTGTTTCCAATGTATTTTCTGGTACCACACAGAATATCATCACTACAAATCCTACAACAGTTTATCCTTACCGCTCACCTACGTACTCTGTGGTAATTCCCAGCCTACAGAATCCCATCACTCATCCAGTTGGTGAGTTAGTTTTATTGTAGATGACTATTTTTTAAATAGCTGCAAGAAAATTTTACCTCAAGTTGAAGTTTTCTTTCTGTTAGTCTTAAGAATTTGGAACAACAGTATTAAGAAAAAAATCAAGAAGAGGGAAAGAGAACATTAAATAAGAGAAAAAAAATTTCAGCAGACATCAAAACACTTCGTTTGTCAGAGTAGCAAATAATCCATGTGTAAAACCTCAGACCTTTCAGGGAAATCAGGATGAGCCCATAGATTAGGCAGATAATGCAGGAAATGACTGAGGTAATTCAATAGGAAAAAGGAGAGTCTTTTTACTATCTGTATAAAAGAATGCCTTGCTAAGGGGTATGAGGCATCCTGTCCTGGAACTTAGTAATGATGCTGATTTGTTGAGACCATTCTCTGCTGCTCTAGAAAAGCAATGGAAGTAATCTATTTTCTACCAAATATTTGTTTGGTTCATTATATTAATCTAAATGCCTCCTCTGAGTTCTTTACATTCTTCTTGTTGATTTTAAACACCAAAAATTGAGAACCTAATATCTTAATAACTTGTTATAGGGCTATCCATCATTGGTTTGTTTTTCCAGAACGTATTTTAACCATCTTTTAAGGAGAGTTTTATACATTCACTACTTCCTATAACTTTTTTTAAATTTTGAGACAGGGTCTCACTCTGTCACCCAGGCTGTAGTGCAGTGGCAGGATCACAGATGACTGCAGCATTGCCCTCCGGGGCTCAAGGATTCTCCCACCTCAGGCTCCCTAGTTGCTGGAGCTACAGATGCACACCCCCCATGCCCAGCTAATTTTTTGTATTTTTTTATGGAGACAGAGTTTTGCAATGCTACCCATGCTGGTGTCAAATCCTAGGCTCAAGTGATCCACCTGCCTCGACCTCCCAAAGTGCTGGGACTATAAGTGTAAGCCACCACACCCAGTCCACTTTCTTAAAACTGCTAAGACTGCTTAAACATACTGCTTTTCCTAGTTTTTTTTTTTTTTTTTTCCTTAAAACCTTCTAGTAATAAAGCCACCCCTATGAGTTGAGAGTTTTAGATACCTTGGAAACTGAGTTATTAGAATCCTAAGCATTTTCAGTTTTTTTAAAATGTATCATTTTAGCAATTGATAGCAACAAGCTACATTTCAGTTGTTTAGATTCAAGAGAGTGATGCAGAGAGCTGATCCTATAGCCCTGTTCCCTCCTAGCACAGTCAAGCACTCTCAGCTTTCACTATTTGGTAGTGACTTATTTAATCTTGTGTTTCAACCCAGTCTTAAGTATAACTTTGTCCGCTTTCCTTGCTTTTCTGTTATGTTATTTGTTTGTTTATTTATTTATTTATTTATTTAGAGACAGAGTCTTGCCCAGGTTGAAGTGTAGTGGTACGATCTTCGCTCACTGCAGCCTCTGCCTCCTGGGTTCAAGCAATTCTCCCACCTCAGCCTCCAAGTAGCTGGGACTACAGGTGCATGCCACCATGCCCATCGAATTTTTGTATTTTTAGTCGAGACAGGGTTCCACCATGTTAGCCAGGCTCATCTTTGAACTCCTGGCCTCAAGTGATCCACCCATCTTGGTCTCCCAAAGTGCTGAGATTACAGGCATGAGCCACCATGCCCAGCCTGTGTTATATTATGATTTTTGTTTTCATAATATAAGTTTCTTCTTTTTGTCCCTTTTTCCGAGACGTTACTTACATCTGCTTCTACCCACTGTTAAATGCTGTATATTTTCCCAGAAACAGAATTAACAATGTTCTTATTTGAAGCAGCTGACATTTGATATATTTTATATCATTCTGAGCAAAGACAAGGATTGAGTAAAAACTGGAAGATTGCTTCTAATGTTGATAGGGTGCTTTCTCCATGATGTTATATTTAAGTATGGTAGGCAGAATTATAGGAAGCGTTTCAGAGCTATACACAACAGTAATAAAATCTAAGACAAGAATGATTTTCTTGTTTGTGCTTAGTTTTTTGCAATATCCCTTATTTCTGATGATATATAGTGTCAGTAAAGATTCATTTCTTGGGTCAGCTGTAGTGACTCATGCCTGTAATCCTAATACTTTGGGAGGCCAAGGTGGGAGGATCACCTGAGCCTAGGAGTTCAAGACCAGCTTGGGCAACATAGCAAGACCCTGTCTCTAAAAAGAAAAAACAAGTATTTCTTGCATCTCAAAAGATAAACAGAGAACATTATCTTATAAGCATAATTTAGGAATTATTAAGATATACATCTTAATAATAAATGGTGAAATTTATCTGCTATTTTGTTCCTCAATCATACAGCTTTGAAATATTTTCTTATAGATTGTTCTCATCAACTTGGCATTATATTACCTAGAGGAGTTAGTATCACTTGCAAATTTGGAAATTTCACTGTATATTTAATATTCTAAATTATTTGTGAAACGAGTTAGAACAGATTATAGCACACATCTCTTAGGGAATCATAATTTTAATATCTTGTCATGTGCAGATGCTAATTTATACACTTTTTTGTTTGTTTTAAGTAATTTCATATTCTAAATATGAAGTTATGGTAATTTTGTTTTTCAAGCATGTTTGCTTTATTCCCATGAAAGATATCAAGATAGTGAGGTACATAATTTTTCTTATATAGAAACAATTTGCCCTATTTTTTTGTAGTAAGCTTTGTGCATTAATATCATACTGTATAGATTTCACCACCATTTCAGATGTAGACTCACCAAGCTAGGGTTCTCAAGATCACGTTTCAATAGCCGAAGGTTATGCTGACTTTCTAAAAATCTCTGGCAGGGGGCATTTGTACCTACTTTGTCTAAAATTTTCTCAGTTCTACCCTTGAGGGTTTTTTAAAAAACTTATATCTATATGTTTTTTGAGATGAAATCTCACTCTGTCACCTATGCTGGAGTGCAATGGCACGATCTCAGCTCACTTCAACCTCTGCCTCCTGGATTCGAGTGATTTCCCTGTCTCAGCTCCTGAGTACCTGCAATTACAGGCATTTGCCACCACATCTGGCTAATTTTTGTGTTTTTAGCAGAGACTGGTTTCATCATGTTAGTCAGGCTAGTTTTTCAAACACCTGACCTCAGGTGATCGGCCCGCCTTGGCCTCCCAAAGTGCTGAGATTACAGGTATGAGCCACCATGCTGGGACAGAGGTGTTTGTTTGAGACCGAGTCTTGCGTTGTTGCCAGGCGTGATCTTGGCTCACCGTAACCTCTGACTCCCTGGTTCAAGTGATCCTTCTGCCTCAGCCTCCTGAGTAGCAGGATTATAGGCACACGCCACCACACCCCACTAATTTTGTATTTTTAGTAGAGACAGGGTTTCACCGTGTTGGCCAGGATGGTCTAGAATCCTGACCTCGTGATCCACCCCCCTCAGCCTCCTAAAGTGCTGGGATTACAGCCATGAGCACTGCACCCGGCCTTTTTTTTTTTTTTTTTTTTTTTTTTTTTAATAATTCTTAGGAATGCCACCTAAGATCTATTTATATTCTTTTTGTCAATTAGATTGGAACGTTCTTTGAACTTGCCATTATACTGTAGTTGATCTAATATTCTTAACCTATTTGCTTTGAAAGTTAGGGTTCAGAAATCTTCTTAAGGTCTTCTTTAGTAGAAAGGGATTTATTGAGTCTCTCTGTCCTCTTTCAGTTACTGTTTACACCCTAATGACTAAATAATTCTGCCGATTCTTTCCTTTCTGTAAAAATATTTGGAGTCAGTTAGTATTGAACTTTGAGTTCTCTTAGATATGGCTCCTTCAGTTTTCCTTTGGACTGCCTAATTTTTTTTTTTGCATTTGCCTCACCGCACTTGGGCTTATTTGTACCTTTTAACAAGCTTTTGAAGGTTTTTCTTTTTTTTTATTGGACAGCTAGCCATAGTAAACTTTGTGATTTTGCGGCACATTTCTTTCTTCTGTGTTTTTAGCATTGCCTTGTAAAATAATCTCCATTTTTCTATGAACTTTTTATTTTACTTAATCTCTATCAGCCTTTTTTCCCTAGCCAATATCAATATTCCAAAAATTGAATAACCCCAGGGTAGATTTTTTGACTTTCTTTTTAGCCAGGGTCATAAATTTAAATATGTTGTGATTTCTACTGCATAATATTTCACACACTGAATTCATGGATTTATAGTAATATTTCTCCATTATTTGGCTCTCAACCAAGTTTCTTCCTTTCCCTTTTTTCCTCCCTTCCCCTCCGCTCCTCTCTCCTCCCCTCCCCTCCCCTCCCCTCTCCTCCCCTCTCCTCCCCTCCCCTCCCCTCCCCCCCCCTCCCGTCCCTTCCCTTCCCAAGGACGGTTATATGCATAATTCATGGGGTAGGTGAGCATCATTGTATATGCAGCATGGAGTGCAGGGTGTGCAGACATAGTAAGGAATCATGCTAACTCATATGTTGATCATGATCAGAAAATCTCCCTGCATGGAGATTTTACTATTTCAGTCCTAGAGATTTTAGTTTTACAATCCTAGGTGGGTATGGTATCAGTTGTGGTGGTGCTACAAGCTCTGGTGGTGGGCATGTGTGGAAAAATACATAAGTGAAGGTGAGTTGAGTGCCCCCCCCACCCTATTTCACTTATAACATGGTAGTCTGGAATTCTCTTCAGATATTTGATTACATGTCTTTGATGCCAGTTATGCCAGCATTCTCATTTTATGTGAGTCTTCCTATTCATTTAAAGGTTTTGGAACTTTTATAAAAGCTGTATCCATTCATACTTTTCTTAACTATTTTTTATTAACCAGGATATGAATAGGAAATTGAGAGTTCCTGCTCTTTATTTTTCTTTTCTTTTTTTTAAACTTATCTTCTTTTTTTTTTAAGATGGGGTTTCACCATGTTGGCCAGGCTGGTCTTGGACTCCTGACCTCAGGTGATCCACCCACCTCAGCCACCCAAAGTGCTAGGATTAAAGGTGTGAGCCACCACGCCCGGCGAGAGCTCCTGCTCTTAATGATCATGGTCAGGGTGGCAGACAGGCAAATAATCACAAAGTTTTATACTATTTCATGATAGGTGATAGGTTTACAAGGTTTAGAGGGAACATGGACAAAGGAAATTAACTGGTGCTTGTTGAATCAGGAGAGGCAACAGTAGGGTCTGTGCCTCACAGATAGGAGGACTATTCCATATAACCCTATCAGCTGAGAATCAGGGCAGCTTCATTACTTCCTATTCCTCTACTTCACTGGGTCAGAGGCCATCTTCAAACAGGTGGCTATGTCCCTTAATTCCCTACTTCCTGCTTTAAGAGGGGCATTATCTGCTTTATCTGGAGAAAAGGAAGGAGAGGGACATCTTACCTGGATGAGGCTGGAGAAAGGTCCACTTTCTTTCTGTCTCTGACAGAGACATGTTCAGCCACAGAATCTTCTTGGACTCCATCTTCTTTATTAACAGACTCCAAACTGTATTGCAGTACACTAGATCGTGACTCTCTTGCTATGGCATCTATCTGTATTTCTTCAAGAAAGTTGAATTAAATTTAGGCTAGGTATGTCATTTAGGTAACTTAATAGCTCAATCAGTAGACCTGTCTTAAGGAACAGGAAGCTAAAACACATAATTGTTTCATTTACCTTTAAAAATTCTGCCATATCTTTCATGCTCTGGTGCAATAGTATTTCTTTTATATCTATCACAAATGGTTGACTTGTGCAAGCCCTGTTCTCACTTGAAAATTTCCTTTCATGTTCACATTGAATACAAGAGTGAAATAATTTTAAGTTTTTTTCAACTAAAAAAATTAAATGTCATTTATAATTTAGTTTAATATAGAGAAGTTTATAAAATAAAAAATGGCCCATACTGCTACTCTGAAATCCCTAATATTAAAAATAAGATTAACATATTTAGATAAATAGAACATTCAAATAGTACTAGTAGGTATAAAATGTAAGTCTAGCTTTTCCTCCTGCCCCACTGCCCTATCCCCTCTCTTAGATCATAGCTCCTTAAAGGTAACTAATGTCAATAGCTTCATATTATTATTTTTTAAATTTATATATGCTTACTAGCATTTATGTGTGTTCAGTCTTTTATCAATCAACAGTTTTATTCATTTGTTTATTCATCTAAAAATATTCGTTGAGGGCCTCTTCTGTGGCAGGCAGAATGTTTTGCCCTGGGGATGATTAGCAGCAAACAAAACAGAAAACGTTGCTCTTCTCATGGCACTTAAAATCTAGTTGGGAAACAGAGACAAAAAATGTAAATAAACAAGAAAACAAAATAACTTCAGTTTGTTCAAAATGCTGCAAAGGAAACAGTGGTGTGATATGATCATGCAGTTAGGTAAGGTGGCTGATGAAGGCCTCTGCTTATACAATTCATTAAACTTTACTGAAAGAAGAAAAACATGGAATGACTCAGTTAATTCTTGATTTATGCTATTTTTATTTCTAAAGGTGAAACCTCACCTGCCATCCAACTGCCCACACCTGCAGTCCAGCGCCCAAGCCCTGTCACACTTTTCCAGCCCAGCGTCTCCAGTGCTGCTCAGGTGACCGCCCAGGATCCAAGTCTGCCTCTCCACCCAGCACTCCCACCCCAACGATTTGCTGGGCCTTCCCAAACGGACACCCTTCGGCTGCATTCTGAAGCCACTCACACTGTGAAGCGACCCACCCCTGTCTCTCTAGAGAGCCCCAACAGGATTTCAACTAGTGCAAGTACTGCCCATGCCAGATTTGCAACTTCGACCATCCAACCTCCTAAGGAGTATTCCAGCATTTCTGCTTGCCCAAGAAGTGCTCGGATCCCCCAGGCTCCTCCCATTCCACACCCACATGTCTACCAGCCCCCTCCCCTGGGCCATCCAGCCACACTGTTTGGGACACCACCAAGATTCTCTTTTCATCACCCTTACTTCCTACCGGGACCTCACTACTTCCCATCAAGGTAAAGTAACATTTTTTTTTCCTTTTACCTAAACATTCAGCTAATGAGTTTTTACCTCTGACAGCATTTAAAAAAAATACTGAAAAGGGCACTTCTTGAATTCTGCTGAATAGAAGTCAAGCAGTTAACATAAATAGATGAAGAGGGCCAGGTGAGGGGTGGAGGAGCTAGAGTGAGTGCCTGCTCTAACTCAGCTCCAGCTGACTCTTGTTATGTAAGAATATAGGCTTCAGGCTGGGTGCAGCGGCTCACACCTATAATTCCAGCACTTTGGGAGGCCGAGGTGGTTGGGTAACTTGAGGTCAGAAGTTTGAGACCAGCCTGGCCAACATGACGAAACCCCATCTCTACTAAAAATACAAAAAATTAGCCAGATGTGGTGGCACGTACCTGTGATCCCAGCTACTTGGGAGACTGAGGCAGGAGAATTACTTGAACCTGGGAGGAGGCAGAGGTTTCAGTGAGATCATACCACTGCACTCCAGCCTGGGTGACCGTCTCAAAAAAACAAAAAAACAAAACAAACAAACAAACAAATATATATATATGGGCTTCAGTGTTGTCAGATATAATTTTTCATGCAAAATAACTGTAAGGGACCTTAAGATCATTTAGTCAAAAGTATAGAGGTGTGCTGATTGTATAGAGGAGGTGCTTTTCAAACTTTAATGTGCATATAAATCATGTAGTATTTTGTTAAAATGCAGATTCTGATTCATTGGGTCTGGGGTATAGTAGTACCCTATATAGGGGTATAGTGTCCCTGATATTCTGCGTTTCTAGCAAGCTCCCAAGTGATTGCCAATTCTGCTGGTTTGTGGACCACACTTTGAATAGCAAGGGTATAGAAGAGGGCATTTGGTCTAAGTGAAAAGTAGAAAATTTCCCATGTAAATTACCAATAAAGAAATAGATTTTCATAGGGAAATATCTTGGGAAAATAATGTGTAACTTCATTTTGGAATGATAGAAATTTAACTCCCTTGGAAGTATTCTGATAGAGTGGTATTAGCCTCTACTTTTCATTTGTTTATTTTTATTTTTAAAGATGGGGTTTCACCGTGATGGCCAGGCTGGTCTTGAACTCCTGGCCTCAGGTGATCCACCCACCTCGGCCTCCCAAAGTGCTAGGATTACAAGCGTGAGCCACCGCGCCCGGCCCTAGCCTCTACTTTTCAATTACTGTTAAACATGTAGACAAAGATAATTTATGTTGAGATGGGAGTATTAAAGTGTCTAACACCAATCTTTTATTCTTACTTAGCAAGTAAATCTACTTCCCACTAGGGTATATCTACACCTCAATAGAAACAACTTTTGAGGTATTTATTATGTTGCTTCAATTTATAATGGGATTACTTGCTTTTGGATTCTTCGCTCAGGACTGGAAGAAAGTGGAACCAGAGGATTAGATCAGGAGAAAGGGAAATGTTTTGTTATCTAGGGTTTGTTTTGTTTTGTTTTGTTTTATGTAGAATCTTTTTTTCTTTTGCAGCCTTAGTAAATATTTTAGTTCAAGGGATCAAACCTCAAGAGACTTTTAATTTAATGCCGGGGAGTTGATAATCTCTTCTTATTGCTATCTGCTAGGATCTAGGATTTTACAGGAATTTTGCATAATTTTACAAAATGTTTTCTGGATATAAGAAGGATATAAAGGATGTAGATGGAATTTGATAACTGAGTAAAACACGTGACCTTAGAAACTTGAGGCCTATAACAAAAATTGTGGAAATTGTATCTGTTACATAATTAATTTTGTAATATGGGAAATGTTTGGACCCTGTTTATTCACAGGATAGGTGAGGTGAAAAAGAGTTAATTACAATGGACTATGTGCCACAATCTCACTCTAGCTGTTATTGGTTTTTTTGTTTGTTGCATTTTTCTTCTTTTTAGTGTTTTGAGAGCTAAGAATTTTTACATGTAGTTCTTATAAAAATCCTGTGACTTGGGTATATTTCCCTACTTTTTCAGTTATATAAATGGATTAATAAATAGCCTCATCAAGATTATACAGTGGGAAAGCCAATAGTCAAATTCAGGTTTGTTTGATTTTGAATTTCATATTTGTCATTTTGTTGTTGTTGAGACAGTCTTCTCTGTCGCCAGGCTGGAGTTCAGTGGTGCGACCTTGGCTCACTGCAACCTTTGCCTCTTGGGTTCAAGCAATTCCCCTGCCTCAGCCTCCCAAGTAGCTGGGACTACAGGCGCATGCCACAATGTCTGGCTAACTCTTTGTATTTTAATGGAGACGAGGTTTCACAGTGTGGGCCAGGATGGTCTTGATCTCCCGATTTCGTGATCCGCCTGCCTCGGCCTCCCAAAGTGTTGGGATTACAGGCTTGAGCCACAGCACCCAGCCAGATTTGTCTTTTTTTCTACATCAGTAAGACTTCTCATTATAATGGTTCCTCTTGATTGGCAGCTTTTAGTTGCTAGCAGAGAATCATCTGGAAAAAATATACTTTCGAATAAAAAATTTAAATGGTCAAGTGGAGGTTGGGGCAGGTAATGTTTCCTTAAATATTACGTAGATTAAATCATAGAAGTCTACCTTACTTATTCATGACAAGGCTTGTAAGATTTGGTTATTAATGTATAAATTATCTGACACACTTTTAAGTTAAGGAACATTTTAAAAGGAAGCTCTTGAGAGTAAATTCTTTTTCTTGGTTTTTTTTTGAGACAGAGTCTCACTCTGTCGCCCAGGCTGGAATATGTAGTGCCGAGGCGTGATCTTGACTCAAAGCAACCACCTGGGAACAAGTAATTCTCCTGTCTCAGTCTCCTGAGTAGCTGGGACTACAGGTGCAGAGGAGATTTTTGTATTTGTATCTGGTTAATTTTTGTATTTTTAGTGGAGACAGGGTTTCACCACATCGGTCAGACTGGTCGTGAACTCATGACCTCAGGTGCCGCCTCAGCCTCCCAAAGTGCTGGGATTACAGGCATAAGCCACTGTGTTCAGCCGAAAGTAAGTTCTCAGAAGTCAGAAACTATCTTTTTTTGTTGTTGTTACTGTTATTGCTAATTAATAGTAATGCTTTGGAAGAACCAAATGAAGTGAGTAAGTAGTTATTATACTGAATTTTTATTTCACTTAGGAACGTCAGAGCAGTATGTCAACTGTGATCTTAAGCTATGCATAGTTTTTCAAAAAAGAAGACCAGTCTTATCAATTATAATATTTTTCAATTGTTTTTCTGACTTCTACCTGTATGTGTCTGATGATAGTTTTTCCAAGGAAATAGATAATCTATTTATGACTTTCTAGATAGTATATTTCAGTAAACTCTAAATGCCAAAATTAGTTGATTCTTTCTCAGTTTTTCTTTTCTCCTACCTGAGAATGGAATCTTCTGTAAGGAATATTTCTGGGCAGGTTCAGTGGCTCATGCCTGTAATCCCAGCACTTTGGAAGGCCGAGGAAGGTGGATCATCTAAGGTCAGGTGTTCCAGACCAGCCTGACCAACACGATGAAACCCCATCTCCACTAAAATACAAAAATTAGCCAGGCATGGTGGTGGGCACCTGTGCAGGAGAATCGCTTGAACCCGGGAGGTGGAGGTTGCAGTGAATCAAGATCACACCACTGCACTCCATCCTAGGCGACGAGAGTGAAAATCCATCTAAAAAAAAATGCCAGGTATGGTGGCTCATGCTTGTAATCCCAGCACTTTGGAAGGCCAAGGCTGGTGGATCATGAGGCCAGGAGATTGAGAAGATCCTGGCCAACATGGTGAAACCCCATCTCTACTAAATATACAAAAATTAGCCAGGTATGGTGATGCACACCTGTAGTCTCAGCTACTCAGGAGGCTAAGGCAGGAGAATCCCTTGAACCTGGGAGACGGAGGTTGCAATAAGCTGAGATCACACCACTGCACTCCAGCCTGGCAACAGAGCAAGACTGTCTCAAAAAAAAAAAATTTCCTCCCTAATTTAGTTATTTATATGTGGAATTATCTAACTATTTCAATGTTATAATTGTAATGGACATTTAAGATATACATATAAATATGTATTTTGTGTGTGTATATATATATTTATGATTATTCATTATTAAAAAATTTCTGCTGGGTGTGGTGGCTCACACCTGTCATCCAGACACTTTGGGAGGCCAAGGAGGGAGGATCTCTTGATCCCAAGAGTTGGAGACCAGTCTGGGCAATTTAGTGAGACCTTGTCTCTCAAACTTTTTTTTCATTAGCTGGGCACGGTGGTGTGTGCCTGTAGTCCCAGCTACTTGAAAGCTAAGGTGGGAGGATCACTTAAGCCTGGGAGGTGAAGACTGCAGTGAGCCAAGATCACGCCACTGCACTCCAGTCTGGGCATCAGAGTGAGACCATGTCTCAAAAAAAAACCCCAAAACTTTTCTTTTTGCCAAACAGTTCATTTTGTCCTGTGTATCTAAAGTAAAAATCGAGTAGCCTAGGTGGTTTAATCAAGGGTCACTTTATAAAACAGATGTACACTCAGAAGTGTTGCTCCCTGTCTCTGGGGTTAACACCTTATTTCTGTCTTCAGATGTTAACCGTTATCATACCGTGTTTATCAAAATGCTGTCTTTCTGTGTACTACATTAATTCTTCAGACTAGTTCTTTTCTCCCTGTCCCTTCCTCTTTCTTCTTCTTGCATATATTGGGCTTTCACATTCAAGGGAGATACATAGGATCTTCATTCTATTGGCCATTGAATAAAAAACTATGTGTTTAAAATCTATTGTAATTAGGGATAAAGAAAGATATGAAGACAAATGGGGATTTACTAGCTTGAAATACATAGAAAATACACTCAGATATATGGTAGGGAAAGTAAGTTCAAATAATTCCTGGATTTGTAGAAATAGCATCTAAATTGCAACATTTTAGGCAAATGAATCAAAGGTTTAAAGCAATTCTCTTTAAACTTTGTTTCATTTGAGAATTTGATTGAAGTTATGGACTCTTTCCATACTAATGCATATCTACACACATATACAAACTTTTGCCTAAA